AAAAAAAAAAAATCTCCTTAAAGAATTCAACAGGGAGTTGATTACATTGCAGAAACATCATCCTGTTTTCCATGACATGTTAGAAGCATAAACCTTAGGGCTTTTTCGCCTCCACTGCATAAAGGTCTGATCGCTTCTGGCTAAAAATGGGGATTTGCTGGCGTATTTCAGCCAACCTCTTCAGGTCTGCAAAAACAGGAAAGTGTACTATTAATAGGATGTAACTCCTCACTAACCAATGAGAATTTCTTCCCCAAACAGTATAAAAACCACCAGAGTCTCGGCAAGTAACTCAGGAATATAGAGGCCTTGTCCAAAGGCACCCGGTGACCTGGAGGTCCCGCTGGAGTTATTTCAAACCAAACCAAGAAAACTCAACCGGAATTATAGCCCCCAGGGTTTGGCCAGAGAACCAAGGATAAACGAGAAGGTGGCACAAGGGAGCCCCTCCAAGCGACAGGAGCTTCACAGCTAGGAATCACCTCAGACCAATGGGGACGCCAGAGACCTCAACCGTGCCGCAGCAGATCTTACCTATGTCTGAATACACGATGGTCTCTTCAGTGCCAGCCTTGGCAAGGACATCTCCCCTGAAAGAGATTCGGAAGGGAGTAGGTCACTAATGTTTGTGGGTATCAGGATCCCTATTCTTGTCCCACCTCGAAGGCCTCAGGGAAAGGAATCTGAGATTAAAGACAAGAAAGGAGGGACATAAATTCCTGTTCCACCATTTAAGTAGCCATTTGGCCTTGTGCTAAGTCACCTGCACTCTCCATTTCCTAGTCTATAAAGTGGAAATCAGAGCTCTGTGAGGACTTAGATTACGGAGTATGTTCTGTAAACTGCCAGCTGCTAGGAAATGGTAGTTCCTCATGATTACAAACCTCTGAAAACAGAGCTACCTGTAAACAGCGGGAAGCTCTGTCCTGTCCCTTCCTGAGTGCAGATCAGAAAGACCCCTTTCGGGAGGGTGGTCTGGCTCTGCTCCTTCATGCTTTCCGAGGCTGGGGATGGTAAGGTTGGGTCTGAGCACAGCCCTGTGCTGCCTGGATCTCCGGCCTTGTGCCTGTGGTCCCTGGGTCCCTATGTTATTGGGTTTCAGTTTTTGAAGGAAAGGTTTCAGCCTGGGGTCTGGATAGAAGTGGTGTGTAAAGCACACCCCAATAGGAGAGGAGCCTCACACTTAGAAACAGGAACACTCCTTCCCAAATCTGGGGAAAGGCTGATGTGGAAAAGATTCCAGTGCTGAGTCTCTTGGCCCAAAGCAGGGCTTCAAAAACATCTAGTGAAATGAAATTTCTCCAAAGCACAAAATAAAGTAATCTGACCTAACAAACAATCTGATACAGTAATTGGTTCCATTTCCCAGATGGCCACAAACAAATTTTTGGCACAGATGAGCTACAAACATCATCATTAATGCCACTTAACTGAATTCATTTTTATTCTTTTCTATTTCTTCCCCATTTGCTCTGGCATTCAAAGATCTCCCTCTCTGGGTTAACCCCAGGCAGCCATTCCTGATGTCAATATAAGACCGAGGGCCCCCAAATCCTACAGGTAGAATTCTGAAAAGAATAAAGTACAACTACTTTGTGTCAGAAGCAGCCAGCCTGATAAGCAATGAAGTTCATCAGGAGAACCCCAGCAGGGAAGCAGAGCTGCCCAGAAGGCCAGGAAGCCTGTCACTAACAAATGAACAGAGGAACTTGAACCAAGTTTAAGAAAATGTTCAAGACAACTTAATCCTTCCAGTCTGCCAGTGCCTTCCAGATCCTAATATGCAGGAGGCTCCCTGGAATCTCTCACTGGTCTTATCTTCCAAGGCCTTCCCCTATCACATTCTTTCATCTTTGGGGCCTAGAAGGTCAGAAGAGAGAATTTCAGACATACCCTAGTGATATATAACCCTTCTCGGCCTTGTTACTGGCATATTTATCCTGAAATTATGTAAATACACAGCAGTATGTGTGTAATCATACAGATGTGTGAGTGGTATGGAATAAATCCAAGTTCTAAAGTCAGAAGTCCTGAATCTAAACACCAGTTCTGGCTATTTTATCCCACGAACTTCAATTCTACCATCTATAAACTGAGCTTAACGTAGGAAAAGTCTCGTTCACATGGAGGCCATGTGTGTGAAAGTGCTGTGGAAACCATTCAAGTACAGACCATGAGTTACGTACAGTAACATACAACTGGATGTGCAGGTGGGAGAACTCCCATGCTGGCTTCTCTAAGACAATGCTTTACACTCTCACAGAGGACAAGGTCACAGTTTTGCTTAAATGAACCCATCCTCCCCCATCCTCTAATCATTATGCAGGGAGCAAAATCCTCACCCTATAACCCATTCCTGCTCTAGAACCAATCACCTAGCTTAAATTTTAACCAAAAGCCAACAATCTGAGAGCCTCTTTTACTAAAATCACCCACCATGACTGCTGCCGTACTTCCCCCATGTGATCCAAGTCTGACTGATAACAAAAGCTACTCAGAAGCTCAGAAGAGGGCTAAGGTCAAATGCTCAATCAAGAAAGACAGCAGGCCCAATTCTTTCTCATGTGGTTTCCAAGTGCAAGTGTCTCTCTCAGACGAAGTGGAGACCTAGGAGGCATGTGAGGATGGGGGACTGGGAAGGAGCAGGGCTGGTGGGGAATCAGACAACCCACCCCCCCCAGTGCAATCTCTCCCAAGCTCCTGGAGAGCCTTTCCCCGCTTAGCCAACTCACCAAGGACTCACAACAGTGCTGTGTCCCCAGGCGACATAGGAGGCCTGATCATCCCGGGCAGGAGATGCCGTGGCCACATATACCTGATTATCAACAGCCCTGTTGTCAACAGACAGAAAAGAGGTAATTCATATATTATATATTGGCAACATTTTTCTATCCCAAGGGTACAGATCCTTCTTTTAAAAACTGGGACAGAGTGGGGGGTGCCTGGGTGGCTCAGTTCGTTAAGCGTCGGACTTCGGCTCAGGTCATGCTCTCACAGTTTCTGAGTTTGAGCCCCATGTTGGAGTGTGTGCTGACAGCTCACAGCCTGGAGGCTGCTTCAGATTCTGTGTCTCCCTGTCTGCCCCTCCCCTGCTCACGCACGCACGCTTTCTCTCTCTCTCTGAAAAATAAATAAACATTAAAAAAATTCTTTTAAATAAATAAAATGAAATAAAAACTGGGACAGGATAGGCTGGCTCAGACATGGAAGGGAACAAACAAAGCCATGAAACCCTCTCTTCTAAAAGTATATTTAACGCATAAGCCACTTCTCAACTGGGAGTGATTTTGCCCAGTAGAGCCATTTGCCAATGTCTGAAGACACTGACTCTGACTTTTTGACTTTCATGATGGGGGTTGCTATTGGCACCCGGAGGGTAGAGGCCAGGGATGCTATTAAACATCCTACAGTGCACAGAACAGCCCCTATAACAGAGAATGAGCTAGTCTAACATGTTAATACTGCCACAGTTGAGATCCTGGCCTGAGCCAACCTTTTAACATATAAACGAGCAGATCTTCTCTGGTTAATCGAGTCAAGGTGGCCAGAGAGACTGGACTGGACTTGCTGGGGCCAAACACTTTGCAGGGCTGCGTGGCATCTCCATGCCCCCAGTGGCCGCAGCCCCATCATCTCAAATTAGGTAAGAATTTCAGGTGGCAGGCTGGGTACATCAAGCCATCTCACCTGGGAGCATCCTGGGCTTAACCAACAGGTCCACGCCAGGCCATTCCGATATCTCCCAAGCTTTTCCTGCTCCCTACAAGACTGCATTAATTAATATTCATGGTATCAGACACCCCTACCCCACCTTCCACCAAGCAACCAACCAAACACCTCTGCTTCCTCCTCCAATAAAAATTGCCATCCTCTTTAGAAGTGAGAATAGTGGCCACATCTGGGCAAAGGAGAGGGTAGGCGGAAGGGGCAAAGGGGAGCATTCTAGAGATCCAGAAGTGTTCTATATTGACCGTGGCCAGAGGTGCATACACATGTAAAAACTCCCCAACCTACAGACTTAAAATCAGTGTACATTCCTCTAAGTATAGGATACCTCAACTAACAAAACTGTAACGGAGAGAGCCAGCGTCTCTGACCAGTATTTCATGGTTTTCAGCACACTTTACACAGACACACAAGTCACACTCCTTTCCCCTTCCATATTACATCCACCTCAGCCATCTGCCCTTCACCACTCACTCCTCAGCCTCAGGGACCCAGGTAACAGCTACTGTGACATGCCAAAGACACTGTGCAATGCCTGGGATTCGCAGAATAGAAAAACAGTGTCTCAGCAGGGTATTCTAGGACTAGCAGAATGAGGTAAGGGCTGGGGTAGGAGAAGCATCGCGATCCAAGCAACATAGTCAACAGGGTGATTCATCCTTTCCCACTGCATCTGGATGTCAGGGCACCTGAGTCAGGGGCAGCATCCTGTATCAGGAAGGTTGGTTCTTCCCCCAAACTGGAAATCTCTGCAACAAGGCAACACTGACACTTGAAGATGTGCCTGAGATGCTTTCTTACCGGCCTCGTTGAAGCAACTCCCAGTGGGCTGGTCCAGTGGTCAAATTAAAAGCTCCAGGATACACCAACAGCTGGCAGCCTTGAGACAGAACGGCCAGAGAAGAATGGGTGCAGGTTGACACCACCCCACACTCAGTCCCCATTTTGGTCCTTACCCAGTGGGGAACAAACTCAAACTCTCCCAAACCTAAAAAAAAAGATGTCCACCAAGGTAGGATTCCTTTGGGGACACATACACGTTGCACACAAACATAGAACAGTGCTATTGATGACCGAAACCACGGTATGTGACTTCACAGATTTCTGTCAGCACCATATGGCCAGCTCTGTGTGGCCAAGGACCACATTTTGTAATGCTTTTCAAATGAAATGAGGGGCAGAGTAGGTGCTCTAACACTTACTGACAGAAGTCAACAGAGACCGCCAACGCAGAGCCTGTGCACCCCCCACCTGTTTTGCTGACCAGGCAGTCACAACACCTGCACCCATTTCACTTGAAGTGACAGTCAAGTCCAAATCAGAGTAGCTTGGACAGTCTAGTGGGATGCTCCTATTTGTTGACTACCACAAGAAGAGCTTTCTAAGCTCTCCTTCCTTAATCTCCACCCCATGCCTATGAAAAAATGGAGATCCACGCTGCTGTAAAGATTAAATAATTTACTCAAAGTATCATGTCCATTAAGGGAAAGAGCTGGAACCAGAACCCAGATCTCATGACTTGGCTCCGTGCTCTTCCAGGACAGCAAGGACACTTGTTCTCTGGACCAGAATGTCACTGACTACATTTCTACTGTGCCCAACATGCAGGACCACTGAGTGTGAAATCATGACAGGCACCATAGACCACATCCTCACTTCTAGTGGGCTCCAAGCTACTCTTTCCAAATACAGTAGCAAGAAGGGTTCGAGGGGCAGAGAGGATTTAGGAGCATGGCTCCTGCTTAGCTCCACGGTGTGCTGAAATGCAACCTCCAAACAGCTGTGCTGTCCACGTGCAGCAACATCTGAGCAGCCGGATGAGGGTGGACAGAGTAAGGCTTCTCCTCTGGTTTTTCTGACAAAGGGCTCCCTCCCTCTACCCACGAAGACCAGGCCGGAACCAAACCTGGAAGCACCTCCACAGCACAACCTCGGTGATCTCACCTCTCTGTGCGTAGATTTGTGCGAGCTCTGCAAAGCGGATGTCGTAACAAATGCCCAGGCCCACTCTGCAGTAAGCTGTTTTTCAAACAGAAAATGCACAAATGAAAAGTTAACCTCTTTTGCAACATGGCGTGGCAGGGTAAAGCCTCCATTTGAGATCACCAAACAATGAAGGTAATACATTACCCAGGGCCCATGGATGGAGAAAATGTATAAGCTTATGCCTGCTTGGATTTTCCCTCACGAAGACATCGTTTATGTCAGCAGATTAGAAATAAGAAGTTCATTCTAATTGAATCCTTATTGTCTATGTGGGAAGTATTCAATCACAGCCTGACAGATAAACTCTGGAAGTGATCATACGAATAGTCTGTGACCAAATGGCAGAGCAAAATCATGACAAACCCGTAGTTCTCCATTCAGCCCACTATTTCTAGATCTCTGGCCATTCTATACCCTTCTCATTTCTGGTCTTATAGTCAGGGTATGTAAAGAAGTCGGGGAGGAACATAAGAGAAAAAAAAAAAAGAAGAACGCCTGACCCTCGTCTACTGAGACTGCTGAAACAGGTGAACTTAGTACTTACGAGTATCAAATGTGGAGAAACTATCACCAGGACTCAATGTTTCAGATTCGTGAAATGTAATTTTCCCTGGAACGTCAATATCAAACAGATGGAGCTGCATCACAAGTAATGGATTTGGTTACTTCTTTTCCAGCAGGGTTCACGGCAGCAATTTACAAACGTCCTTCCATGCCCAGAAATAGGGATGCTCTAAGATCAACTATACAAATAGTAACCCCAACCTGCCCACAACCCAACCCACAAGCTGACATTTTACCAAAATGAGCTCTAATATACAAAACTGGAAAAAATCCACAAAGCGGTAGTTTTATGACACTTCTTTCCTATGTAGTATGCAAGGTGATATCTAGGTTTCTTATGGAAGGCAGCTAATGTGTTACTTTCTTATTCAGTATAAATGCTAACTGAAGTCTTCATCACAGAATCATAATCAAACTGACACATTGGCAGGAGAGGTGGAGAGTGGGTAATTAAAAATTGGTACAATTTTCCCAACTAAATGCAGCAATATATAAAAAGTGCAACACATCATCTGAAATTGGATTTATTCAAGGAAAGCACGTGTTAACATGAGGAAATCAACGTAATTTACTACAAATAGCTAACAAAATAAAGGAGAAAAGTCATATGAACATCTTAAGAGGTACATAATGAGCATTTGGCAAACTTCTAAATCCATTCATATTTTCAAAACAAAAGAAAAAACTCTTCTGGGAAGGGTATTCCCTTACTCTGACATAGCATCTGCAAAAGTAAAAAAGGAAGGAACATCATACTTAACAGTGAAACATTAAAAGCCTTTTCATACTGAGATCAGGAACAAGACAAGGACTCCTCCTATTCAGAGGATCTCAGAGATCCTAACCCAAGCAACAAGGCAACAGAAAGGAATAAAAACCATGAGGATGAGAAAGATAAAATTAACTCTGTAATCATTCTCAGATGATATAACAATGTACCTACAAACTCCAAAAGAAATCTACAGCTGAAATTAAGGAGTTTAGCAAGGTTACAACATACAAGGTCAGTACTTTTAAAATTAGTTGTACTTCTATATACTAGCAAGAAACAGAAAATGAAAGGGCATCAAAAACCACTAATTAGGAATAAATCTAGCAAATGATATACAAGACTGTACCCAAAGCACTATAAAAACAATTCAAGAGAAATTTTTAAAAGCTTGAATAAATGTTGGGATATACACATTCATGGACTGGAAAACTCAATACAAAAAATATGCACTTCAAACAGTGAGGTTACAAGCACAAAAAGCTAGTTGTTTAGCCCCAAAGCTAAACAACTTTAGATAGAACAGAGCAGCTGAGGGATGCCTGGGTGGCTCAGTCAGTTAAGCACCGGACTTCAGCTCAGATCATGATCTTGTGGTGAGCCCCCACGTTGGGCTCTGTGCTGACAGCTCAGAGCCTGGAACCTGTTTGGATTTGGATTTTGTGTCTCCTTCTCTCTCTGCCCCTCCCTCACTCATGCGTGCATACGTGCTCTCTCTCAAAAGTAAATAAACATTAAAAAAAAAAAAAAAAAAGAATGGAGAACCTGAAGTTACTGCCTACCTCACAAAGGAAAAAGAGTATGGTGTTTGAGTACAATGAAGTTAACTACTTACTAAAACAAAAAAATTCAACCCTTTTCAGAGTAATATAATAGAAGCTGGAATCTCAACAACATAGAATCCAATATGCAATCCAAAATTACTAGACACACAAATAAGAAAATGTTACCTAACTTTAAAGAAAACGTAATAATCAATGAAGCAGACCCCAGCCTGGGTCAGATGTGATAATTACCAAAAAGGAGCTATTAAATTAGGCTCAAGGGTATAAGGAGAAATATGCTCTTAATGAATAGACAAATAGGATATAATTAGTAGATAAATAAAAGTTTATCTGAAATTTTAAAAGATTTCACTGGGATGGCACACAAGAGACTAGGGATTACAGAAGAAAGACTCCAAGAACTTGAAGACAGATGAATGGAAACTGTCCAAGCCAAAGAAGATAGAGGAAAAAGGTTGGAAAAACAAAAAACTGGAGTCTTGGAAACCTGGTTTGGTAGAACAGTATCAAAATTGAAGTCCAATAAGAAGAGAATGGAACAGAAAAGCATTTAACAGAATAATGCCCCAACAGGACGAAAGAGTTAAATTTACAGATTAAAGAAGCACAAAGCAGGGCTCTGGGTGGCTCAGTCAGTTAGGCGTCTGACTTCAGGCTCAGGTCATGATCTCACAGTTTATGAGTTCGAGCCCTACATCGGGCTCTGTGCTGACAACTCAGAGCCCGGAGCCTGCTTCAGATTCTGTCTCCCTCTCTCTCTGCCCCTCACCTGCTCACACTCTCTCTCTCTCTCTCTCTCAAAAATAAGTTTAAAAAAAATTTTTTTAAATAATAAATAAGCACAAAGCAAGAGAAATAAAAAGAAAACTATACCTACATAGGCACATCAGAGTCAAAACACTGAGAAGTAAAGATTATGGAAAACATTTTGAAGGCAGACAGAAAAAAACCATGAATTACATACAGAACAACAATACAAATCACCACCGAATTCTTATTAGAAAAATGCTTAAAAAGAGGCTAGGAAATACACGAAAAACATTGCTCAAATTGCTAGGAGAGAAAAGAAAACTGTCAACCCAGAATTCTATTCCACCAAAAATATCTTTCAAGAATGAAGACAAAATAAAGATATATTCATAAACCAAAACTAAGAGCATTCCTACCTACCAGATCCTCACTACAAAAATTCTAAAGGAGGTCTTTCTGTTTGAAGGCAGATACCAGACAGAACTAGGATCTTTAGAAAGAAAAATACAAAGAAGCTAAATATTTCAGCAAACAAAATAATTTTATCTGAATTTCTTTACATACAAATGATTACTTAAAAACTTAGTGTTTTGTGGGATTTATTATGCAATACATATGACAACTATAACAGAAAGAGGGGAGAAGGAAGGAAATTGATCTATATAATGTGAAGTTCTTAAATTTCATATGAAATAGTAGGATATTAATTCTAAGTAGACTATGAAAAGATAGGGTGCGTATGGTAATCCTTAGGACAACAACTTAAAAAAAAAAAAGCAAAGAGGTATAACTAAAAGCCAATAGTTAAATTAAAATGGAATTCTAAAAAATACTCAACTAAACCAAAAGAATGCTGGTAAGAGGAACAAAGAAAAAAAACACTAAAATGTCTAATGCCTAAATCAAACCATATCAATAATTACATTAAATATAAGTGAAGTCAGTGCTCCAGCTAAGAGGCAGAAATTGTCAAAATGAATAAAACAACAAGACCCAACTGTATGCTAGCTACAAGAGAATCATTTTAATTATAAAGATACACTGGACTTCAAGCTGTATTACAAAGCTGTAATCATCAAGACAGTATGGTACTGGCACAAAATCAGAAACTCAGATCAATGGAACAGAATAGAGAACCAAGAAATGGACCCCCAAACGTATGGCCAACTAATCTTTGACAAAAGCAGGAAAGAATATCCAATGGAATCAAGACAGCTCTTCAGCAAGTGGTGCTGGGAAAACTGGACAGCGACAGGCAGAAAAATGAACCTGGACCACTTTTTTTTTTTTTTAACGTTTATTTATTAT